AGAATATTAACAAAATTATGAAAAGGATATACGCATATGTATATAGATAAATTTTATTTCAATGAAATTTATTGATTAAAATTATGTGAAAAAATATTTTTAAATCGTATAGAATACATCGGTATGCTATTTTGGTTTTTCTAATGCAAGTTTATATCTTTCTGTTGATTAAAGGATATTAATATAGTAATATCTTGTCCTGTTATAATAAATTTTATTTGTTCTTTTAATATTTATTTTAGTGAATTTTTTTTTCATTTTTAATAGATGAGCCGTTTCAAATTAGAGGTTCCGATATAGGATGACATTTTAAAAATTTTTTAAGTTTATTTATGTATGCCTTAATAAACTTATGTATATGAAATTTACCTACATTTTTGTAATAAAAATATTAAAAAGTAATTTTTTATATACATACATACATGTTTGACATGTGAATTTTTGGGTATTTCAGCTTTTTTGTCTTTTTATAGAAAACCATATTATATGAAATTGGTTTGTTAATAACGTTAATATTAAAAATAAAAATGAAATTACTTTCGTTAATAATTTTAAGATTTTAATTGTATTGAAAATATTTGAATATTTCTCATGATTAAAATATAATTATTGTATATAGTAATGATTAACTTGATATTTATACATCAGGAGAAATATATTTTAGCGCATATTGGCCAAAATATCTGACTATAGTTGTTCAGTTATAATAAATAAGAAGATTGAGGATTACAGCATTTAAAATTAATAAAAAGTGAAAATATAGACAATTGTTTGAGCCACAGTATGAAATTGTCAGGACAAAGAAATGTCAAAAAAAAAGTAGAAGTTTTTCTAAAATTAGTGTGTGCTTGTGAGTCACGATAGTGAATAAAATACGAAATAATGTACATATATATATATATAAAAATGTTATACTTAAATCTTTTACGTTTTCTGAAACAGAAGTTATGAGTAATAAGCTTTTCTTAAAATTCCAGTTTTTTTAAAAATCTGAAACCGAAAATGGATAAAAAAGAATTGTACCTATTTTCGATTCCCTTTAAATAATGGAACAGCAAAGCAGTAATGAACTACTCCTGCACAATACTTGAATGTACTTCTAAGTATAGTTGGGACTAGTTTGAAAATAGAGCGAAATGAAAACTGCGCTATATTAGAACTAATCGCTTTGATCATTCCAGATTATTCATTAGTATGCATTTCAATTTTCTTAAGTTTTATCCTTCTAAATCACTCTTTAATAATAATTAAGGCAAAAAAAAGGAGAGCGTCATATAACTTCCCAACGAATTTGTAAAATTGTTTTTTTGCTAATATATTTTTACGAAATAAGTTGACCCATATGCTAGAACTAATATAACTTTTGGAAGATAACTATTTCGGAAGACTAACTATTTTCGGAAGAGTTTTGTTAAAGATTTCATATTCATACATGTATGTGCAGTACACTGGACTTTAACTTCGATTTTGTATTTAACACTTTTCATAATTCTCATATAAAAAGATCGAAAATGTATAGGTACTTTTTTCTTAATTGCATTCAAATTGGTCGGAGAATTGAATGAATTGTAGTAATTTACAAAAGGAGATCCTTACAAACAGAGAATAATGTTGGATTATCCGTTTTCATTTTTTTTTCTTCATTATCAATTTTTCATAACCCTTGTAAAATATTTTTTTCTTGTTAAATTTTTTATGCACCTTTTGTCAATCATAGTGCTTCTTTTTCAAATTATAACATAGACTGTCATTAAAAATTGATTATTATGTATTATAATTATGTGAATAAAAACCTTAAGGACATATTTAAAAATGTCAATTTAATTGAAAAATCAATTGTTATAAAAGTATATTGTAAAGTATGGTATGTATGCACATTCTTTACTTAAGTTCATAAATTATTTACCGTTATGCAGGTGTGTTATTATGGTATTAGAATTATTAATTATGTCCGTGAATTACTAAACAAGATTTTCGGCTTAATTTAAACATTAATAAGTTATTCCAGGTTCGTTTAAGTTAAATTATTGCGTTCCTTGGAAGGGTAAACCTGTAGGCCACTTTTTTGTAATTGTAGTACTACCGGATCTCTAGAATTCTGAATACCGGTTAATATCCCTAGAATTTAAAATCGCTAAGTCCGTAGGACACTGGAAGAAGTCAAACCTAAGAAATCTCTGCTTGGGCTTTGTTAGTGTATGTAAGGGCAAGCTTTCAGGCACTCAATGTGTCTCAGTATTGTTTTTTAGTTAATTAAAATATTAAGTTTTGCTAAAATGATTTCAGCTTGGATACAGAACTATACAGACTGTCCAACAAACGAACTTTTTACAAAGGATAAGTACATTTTTGGTTCGATATATCAATTTATTAGAATATTAGCTGGTAAAGTGAAAAAAAATAAATTTTGAAAAAATAAAAGTTGCATCTTAGTTTAAATTTATAACGCTACAAAATTAATATTTAAACGTTTACATTAGCAGGTAATATTTAAGTGTTCTTTAAAAAATCTAAGATGAAATTAATATTTACTTATAATATACTTAATTCGGCAGTAATATAAATTTTTGATTTCACTTATTATACTTATATTTATAGGTGAAAAGTATCTACGAACAAGTTTATTACGATTTTTATTCATTTAAGCAGGAAGTAAATGTTGTTATGTGCTAACAATAATATTAAAAAATTATAAATGATTTTTATGATAAATTTTTGTATTAACTATACAAAAACAATTTTCTTTAGCTACTGTCCATCTCATTGTAACTTTTATAAAATGCCGAATTGAAAAACAATTCTTCCTATTTATAATTTTAATAACTAATTTTTTTCGCAAAAATATTTCATAAATTTGTTTTTTTGTCGGTATCACTTTTTTTTTGTTTTCTCTATTTTTAACCAATATAATTTTGTGAATTTTTTTAAAGGATATTCCATGAAATATTGTGCATACATATTCAATAATTATTAATAGAATTTTAATAAATACAAACAATTTTATGCTAATCATTATGTCCTTTTTTTTTGTCCAACTATAACACTAATGTCCTTTTCATTTTCTTATTATTTCGTCTACAACAATCAATTAAGCAATATGTTTTGCATTATACATTAGAAAAAAATTGAAAAAGGAAAGGAAAGTCCTTAAGGATTTCGGGTTTTTTTTTTTATTTCAATGAAAATTTTGCAATGATTTTGTATGACAATGTTAGACTTTAAGAGTAAAACGAAACGTTTTTTTATTTGTGCAACATTTATTATGCGTTAACATTTCCAATTTTTCTTCTTTTCAACCACAGTTTGGAATATATATGGTTAAAAAGAATACCATATTGAAATTACATTAAACAAAAACTTTCTGGCAATTTTGAAATTTCAAAAATTTTTATAATTGAAATATTAAATGAAGAAAAAATGACTCTCAACTTATAAATTTCTTTTTCATATTATGTTCATGTTCAAATTATAAAAAAATGTGTTTTTACACAATAAAAATCTTATACAGTTAGAGCTAAATTTCTTGTATTTCTTAAAGAATGTTTGAGTATTAGAAATTAAAAGGATAAAACCAAAAAAATTATTTTTATCCTTAAAATACATAGATTATAATATTAAGTATACATATATATATAATATATATATAATATATATACACGAATATATTTATATGGATGCGAAAAGGAAAAAAAAATTTAAAGAACTTTTTTGTTGAGTCAGGTTCTTGCATATTATTTCTGTGAACAATAATAAAAGAATATAAAGACAAGATTTGTGTGTTATTTAAATTTTATAAATATGGGTATTAAAATTAATAATATAATATTTTAATATTTTTTAGTTTTTGTCTTTGGTTACAATATGAGTAAACTTGTATATTTTCATGAGATTGTTTTAAATCAGATTTCTTTGGTTCACCATCACTAAATTTACATTTAATATTTATTTAATATTAGCACTGAATTGAAAATGCTATGTTAAAAATTATTGGTTTTCATTCAAGAGAATAAGAAAAAAATTTGGAACTTTTATAGTATATTTTAATTTTCGGTTATAATTTTACAATTTTACACAAATTATAGGGGTAGTTTCGTATGATTTTAAAATTTGAATATTTCGAATTGGTTCTTGTTTGAAACTTTATAAAATAATTGCAGACCGTCGCTCCCCATTATAAGATGTGCTAGTAACATTGCTTGTAATATAGTAATATGCAAAATATTCTATTAACACGATCTTACAAGATCATCCACTTCGTGTTCAAAAACCAGTTTTTAGTCCAATATAGTGCAGTTTAATAAACTAAAATATGATATTTTAAATGTTACTTTAAACTAGACTATGAACATATTCAAAACTTATTTTCAAAAATTAATTCCTTAATTCACATATATTTAAATCCCTTTGGAATATTATTCATAAGTTTACGCAAAGTAATAAAATATCTTTAATTGTTTGTAGATTTAAGAATATTCTTTTTCTAAATTGCTACTTTAAAAAAATTTCATTTTCTTAAAATCATATAACTTTTACCAGGCAAATTCCAAAAAGAGAATGTGTTAATGGAAATTTTGTATTAAAATAGAATTTTAAAAATGTTTTTCGTAATAAGAGGCTACAATACATTCACTTTTCATTTTATAATTATTGTATTCACAATTACAAATCCACAAAACATGATGTTTTGCTTAGTAAGAAAACTTAGAAAAGTTATTTCAAAATTTAAAAAAATGGATTTTGCAGATATTAGGGGTAAGAAATTATTCTTAAAAATTAAGTAAACAGAAATTGATTTTATTATTAAAAAATTTGATTTCCTAGTACACCCTTACGGAAAATTGTAACCATGTAAGACATTTAACAGAGTTGATTTTTTTGTGATATTATCCATGGTATAAACCTATTGATATATTTTACCACATTAGAGTTGTAAAATATTATTATAATTTTTTTAAATCTTTGAATCTAGTTAAATAAAGTAAAATTAAAAGAATTTAAAATTTTAACAATTTAAAGTTTCATTTTTATTTTTTGCTAATAATTTCGGTTTAAAATAAAATTTTAATTTGACAAATTTACAATGTTTTATTACTTTTGTTTTTTAATAACATGAGGTAAGTCATATACACCACGTACGCATTTTAATTTAACGCCAGGAACATCTTGTAAACGTCCTACTCGTGTTAAAACAATATTATGTTCTTGTAAATTATGTCCAATACCTGGAATATAAGCTACCATTTCTTTACCGGTTGATAAACGTACTAAAACACATTTTCGATTAGCGGAATTCGGTTTTTTAGGTTTTTTAATTAATGTTTTTAAAATAACTCCTTTAGCAAATGGTTTCCCGTCCAATGGCTGACGTGGTGGTCTTGTTTTAAAATGTGGTCCAGTTCGATGCATTTGTTGTAACGATGCCATATATCGTGTTATTATCGATGAATTGCTATTAAATGTATTGCTATATACTAAAAATATACATAAAAATAAGAAAATTAATTAATTTATTATAGGAAAACAAAATATAGATAATAAAGAAAAAAGTATTAATTGATTAATTGAAGCGGAATACAAGAAGAAATGCAAATCATATTAAATTAGTTTATTTTACAAAAGTGGAAGAATAAAACAAGTACAGAATCAAATAATGATTTTTATCAATATAAAATTTTTGTTATATTATGTAAAGAGAATTGTTACGAACATATTTTTTAGTAAAAAATATACAATGCCTTTTATTCTTCTTGTAGTTACTTATTCTAAATAGAAAATAAAAAATTTAAATAATAAAACAAAGATTGTTGAGAAAAAGCTTTAAAATTAAAATTGAACTTCAATACTTCATAAAAATTATTTATTCAGAACGTAAACTATCTTTTAAATTTGTATAAAGACGGAATCATGTAAAAGCTTCTACCAAAATTTTGTATCTAATATTCACATACAAAATAATGTTCACATTAAAAATTCTCATGCCTCTACAAAATTTTACTTAATTAGGTTTCTTTTTATAATCCCTTTTCAATAGAGGGATAATAGAATATTTTCTTTTTGCTTTACTTCCCTCTCTTTCCATGATTTTTCAATTTATCCAAAAATTTAACAACAAATGTGAATAACTCTTTTTTTTGACATGTATTACGAGTACAAAAAATTTCAATAAAAATTCAATATATTTCTCATCAAAAGGCTTGAGAAAAAATTTTTAAAAACAAAATCTTCGATAGTTTATGAGTTTTTTCATTTATTTTCAAATTATAAATACTGAAAATTTTACAGTACAATCCGATTTAACGGATCTAATGTGATTATACATAATCTGTTATGTACTTGGCAAAGGTTACATCAATGTAAAATACTAATAAAATTATTTTGTAACCTGACAAGTTTGAATATTTTGTTTCACCATTTTATTTAATTCAGAGCAAATTTCAAGATTACTTTACAATTAAATTTATAAGTTTAGCTTATTCTGATATACAAGTGGTTTCTTATATATAAAAGTGTCTAATAGCATATTTTGTTGTATGAGTTGTAAGTGCCTCGTATGTTATTCGATTTACTACAACCGAAAATGGTCTTCCCTTTTCATTTTTTCTTATGACTCAAGATTATGTATCAATGCTAGCACAGACATGGTAAACTTTGTGTTTAAATTTTGCAAATATTTAATGAAACAATAATCTAGATAAGTTTTAATTTAAAGATTTTTTAGACTATGGCTTCCAATAAATTAGCCTAACTTGAAGTACGAGTATTTCAAATTTTCGAATAATCAAGAGGAATTAAGTAAAATATTATAAATTTAATCATGTACAACATTTTTCTGATATTTACTGTATTATTGAATACTGAAATTATTATTAAAAAAATATTATCCTTTATTTCGTATAAATCCGTCAATATCATCGCATTCATTATAATAATAATATAATAAGTACAATAAACAAAATTTTAGAAAAGTAAGATCATGACCAGAGGTCTAATTCTCAAGTACAGTTTTTCCAATATCAAAGTATGATTAAATGTTATATAGGAGGAAAAAAATAATATAGACACATTATTGTTGTCTTTAAAATTCGTTTTCTTTTCAATTTTAACAATAAACATATTTTAACATTACACGGTATGCATTGATATTTTATTAAAAGATATTTGTATGGGCTGACCAAATATATACAACTAAAACGTTAAAATAATAATAAATGTTTGTAATATTGAAAGAGTTTTCATTTTTATTATTATTATTTTCATTAAAAAGGATATTTCTATGAGGATATTACGAATATCAATATATAAATATGTAGTATTAAAAATTTGAATCCTTTACCTATTGTTCATTATTTTTAAGGATTATAAGGAAGTTTTAGTTTGTTTTTTTGTTATCAATGTTCATGTATAACATATAACATTAAAATATGTAAAGTGAAATGGTCATCTGCTGTCAATTTCTCTTCATATTTTTTGCATCCTATTTTATTTGTTATCCTTTTTTGTTATGATTTTGATTGTTAAAAATCATAATATATAATATTTAGATATAGGAAAGATTGAATTTAACTAGGAAATTATTTTAATTTCATGAAATGTGATTTAAACCTTCAATTCTTTTCTTTTTTTCTAAGAGAGATAATAATTTTAAGAGTTATAATAAAATATAATTAATAAGAAGTTTTATTTTTAACAGCATCTGCTTTCAATATTCTTGAGTACAAATATATTTTACTTCGTTAAGATGATTATTTTGTTTCTTTTATTTAAAGTATGTAGCTAATATAATAACTTGTGTATGTATTATAGATCATATAGCGCTATCAAATTTTATTGTAAGGAATAAAAATCTAAGAAAAACTAAAGGAAATTTCTTGAGTTATTTTAATGTTTTATTGTTTTTCTTATTACTGATTTCCCTTTTTTGAAGAATCATATGTTACTTAATACAAATTATATTAAATATCGAAAACAATTTCTTTTTAAATTTTAAAATTTACTCATTACAGAATTTTAAGGAATTTCTATAATAATTTGGTTAAATTCCCGTAACTTTCGAAATATTAAAAAACAGTTAGTTTAATTAATTATTTAAAAAATAGTATTATCTTATTATTTCTAACAAAACACACACGACATTCGTTTTAAATTATTTTGCGATATTAACACGACACTCGTTTTTAAGATTATCCATGGTAAGGTTATTGGGACCGTCATGAGATATGTGCATTGACCCAATTACAGTTTATGCAATTCTACACATTAAAAATTAATTAGTTTTTTCGATAAATATTAAATTTAATGCAATTTAACATTTAAAACAAAATTATCAACTCATTCATTGCAAATATCTTCATTTTGTTTTTGAAGCTAAAACTATGTTTCAATAAAACTTAATAATTAAAAATTAAAACTTTATTATTTAATATTAAAAAATTTATCATAGGAAAAGATTTACATTGTAATTTTTTTAATTCAGTTATAATATATGTTTTACTATTAAGTGTTACATTACAATAATTATTTGAAATGGAATTTTTCATCTGATATAACAACTTCAATCCATGAAGTACTAGTTCAGGCTCAAATTAACGGCATAATATAGAATGAGTTCTTTGGTTTAATAAAACATAATCAATTGTGCACATTAAAAATTTAACAATTAAAAATTAAATAATATTTAATATTAATCTGAGATGGCTTTTAGATTTTATTTGGTCTCGGTCGGGAAAATTCTTATTCACATTGATCAATCAGTCTTCAAATTATTTAGTAGTTTTTAGCACTTTTCCAAAAAATTTTTTGAAAAAAGTGCTTATTAGTTTCACTCTGTCCGTCCGTCCGTCCGTCCGTGTGTCTGTTTACAAAACTACTACACCTTTGAAGATAGAAAGCTGAAATTTCATACGTACATAGATCTTCACTAGAAACTTATTTCCGTAGAACAAAATTTTTATCTATCTCCCCTCCTCTAGAAGTTATACCCCCCCAAAACCCTAAAAATGGCCTTTTTTAAATATTAGTTGCAATGAAACCATAAGCATTTTTGAAATTTTGCAAACGCAGAAAGGCAGTGGCTTGCTTCCCCTTGCGCGGTATACTATAGTTCAACTTAAGAAAAACAAAATGGCCGCTCAAATTTACCGTTATTTAAAGTCCTTTTTTTCCAAATTTTTGATGTCGTTTTTCTTCTAGACCCCAGACTGTAGAAGCTTGAAATTTTAGGAACTTTTAGATATTAATAAGCAGTTCATTTTGTTAGAAGAAAATTTTTTTGCATCTCCACCCCCTCTCAAGTTATCACCTCTTGAAATTCGTAAAATTTGAATTTTTGACACCTTATATTTCCGAAACCGCAAGCTTTTCCAAATTTTTATAAACGTAAGAAGCTAACGGTAAATTCCGTGAAATTAAAAAATATAATAATTTTTCTTAACTCACACAATTAACCCTTAAAATCGAGCATTATGTTAACCCCTTTTTATATTAATTTTTGCTTTATTTCAAAGACTGCATATATGCGTCATCCTAAATATATGCAATCCTAGAAATAGTTTTGTATATGAATGAAAATAATTTTAATAGTGTGATAGCTATACATAGACTGTATTTAAAAGCAGAATTTTCACTTGTTGAAGGGAAAAGTGCTACAATACAAACCATTGGTTTGACCCAACTTTATTAAAATATTATTTAAAGCTGAACCATAAAATCATTCATATATAATATTTTATTATCAATTAATTATTTAGAAACTAATTAAAACTTATTTTAATTTTACAATATTTAATTTTTTTTTTCAAAAAATGTCCAGAAAAGAATATTCACATATTTTTAAATTTAAAAGTTTAGGTAAATATTGTATTTCAACAGAACATTTCAAATAGGTTCAAACAAGTAGGATAAAATATACTTTTGATGATATAGCTGAAATTTTAATAGCTAAGATATACTCGTAGTTAAGATTATATAGCTAAGATTTTTAAATGCAAACATTTTGCATTTCGAAATACGCAATTAAAGATTTTCGAAGAAAATTAACTCAACCATTAGCCGAGTTAACTTAACTTTGTTTAAGTTTTGAATGGCAATATAAACTGTTTGTATGTACACTAAAAAAATTAAAAAATCTATTTTTTATTAAAACTAAAAAAAATGTATAAAAAGATAGATAAATCACTTAAATTATAGAACATATTAATATGTACATTACGTATAGATTTAAACTTAAAGGAAGTTTTAAGGACAAAAAATCGATTTTCATCAATTGCTTTGGTAAATTGTACTTATTTAAAATTTTTTAGTCTGGTAATACAATTTTTAATTTTTGGAATATTTTCTTCGCATGGAATTTCATAAATTAATTCCTGCAGAAACATTAATACGTATTTACTCGTTTTAGAATAATTTAAATTAAATACAAAATATATTTTCATTATTAAATCAATGGCACTTAATAAATTTGGTACTTTATAACGTATTCCACTAATAGACACAAAGAACTCATTTATAGTTTGAACTGATTCTCCAATCACCAAAACCTGGGGATAAACAGTCAAATTTTCATTTATTGTTAGTTCTGCAAGATCATTGTCTTCTTGTTTGAAATTTTCTAAATTAGTTATTAGTGAAATCATGTCAAGCTGGGCATCTGCTATCGAAGGTTTCGTGTTTTTGTTAATACGCGGTGGTGGAATTACTGTGTGTAATAAATTGAAAAAATGAAAATGTCTCGAATCTAAAAAGAAAACGTGTTTTAAAAAAGTCTTTAACAAAAAATAAAAACAATATATTCTTGTTAAAGTTTAAATAACCTTTTGAAATGTCCTTTAATTTCATTTCTTGATAATTTTGATAATTCAATTTGTCTTTGATTCCAGAAGAGAAAAAGACTTTATCCATTTTTTGTTCAAAATCTTGTATTTTTTCAAATAATTTATTATATTTTCCAGGATGAATTGTTTCAAAATCTATTTTAATTAGCTCATATCCATTAGGGTCTTTATATCTAGGCCAGTCATTTATAAAATTTGTCCAAGAGTCTTTATTTTCTTGCATTCGCAAAAATGAAGTTTCTTTCCATAAAATTTCAATATCTGAAGGTGTATTATACAATAAAAATTGTTTCTTTGTCTGAAAATCATTGTACTCCGGAGTGCTATCAGTATGCTTGTTGGTATTTTCTGTTGATTTTCTTGATTTCTTTTCTGAATGATTTCTTAAAGTTTTTAGTTTCCGCTTATATTTAGCATTTAAATATCTATCGTATAGTTTACCCGATGGGCGCTTATTTCGACCCCTTGGTATATAATATGTTGATTCATTTTCTGATGGAAAAACTTCTATAATTTCTTTAGCAACATTTTTCATAGTAACTGAATCCATACTGTGTTCCTTATATAGATAATGATCTACAATTATTCTAACAATCGCTGTTTGATCAATTTCAGTTAAATGTTTTTTGTATTCAAATTTGGTTAAGATATCATTACCAGCCAATGTTTTAGACAAAATCTTTCTTACATCTAAGTTAGGAGGGTCAATTTGTGGTTCTTTTTCTACAAATGAATTATTTGGAAAGTGTTCTACTGCTGTATTTATTGAAGTCGTGCTATTATCTGTACATGTTAATGATTCAAACTGAACAAACAAAAAAGAAAATGTTAAAGAAAGTAGACAATTATAAATAAAAATTATTTTTACATAGCAGTACTTACTTTATTTTGTATGCGCCACTTTTGTAAATTATAACGAAATTTTATTTTATCACCTATCAGTTGTCTGGTATTAAATATTTCATCAATATCATGGCTGTGAATCATTTTTAAAATTTCTATCGAATTTATGCAACATTCCGAAAGTACAAGAATTGCATGATTTGATAAATTCCATTCCATATAAAGTTTCATTGCTTCAGATTCTAAATCTGCAATGTTTTTATTTTATTTATAACTGGAATTTCTTCAAAGTTCGTTTATTTTCAAGTGACATATTTTAGTATTTTTAAAGAAAGTCACATATTTTTTTCAAATAAAATCACTGATTGGTTAATATTTTTAACTAAATTATTTTTAATAACAATTTAACTCTAGCTTTGAATTATTGTTATTGAAGTTCGTATACTGGTAAGGTTGCAACTGAAATCTGCCAACCAATATTTAAGAAATGGTGCAAAAAATTGAAATAATTATAGAAAATAACACATTCGAAGGAACTGAATAACCTATAATCTCACAAACATATCCTCTCACAAATTTTGTCTCTTACGGTAACTCCGTTTTAATAAAAAATAATATTGAAAACTTTTAATCTTTGAGCCTTAAATGTAAAATATCAATTTTGTATCAGTTTACAGGAAGTAATAACATGTTATAATAATGTAAATACTTTTGAATACTGTAAGCAGAATTTACATAAGCATCCATAATAAACACTCTCTTCAAGTTCCTTACAATGGCTAAGTTTGGGGGATGAATGTTTCACATTCAGTAAAAAACAATAGATCCTTAAGAACTGGGTTACGTCAATCTATAATCTAAATGCAAACCATCAAATTTTAATTTCTTACTCTTTTTTTCCAAAGCATATCTTAAAAAACATCTTTTTTTATGCATGTTTACGAATGCAGGTACTTACAAATTCGTATAGAAGTGAATTCTTTTAGGTTATAATAATCAGTCATTTTATGGTTACGTTTAAATTACTTCTTAACCAATTTTTGACCATTGCGTATATTTAACAATAAAAAAATACAATAGATTTATGTCTTTTGTTACTATTCTTATGAAAAGTAATTCGTCATAATTTTAGATCTCTACGAATCAGTTGACCTCTATTTTGCTAAAATCTATGAATTTAAACAGAGTATATTGCAAAAAAAAAAAAAATTGTCAAATATTCCAGTCACCCTTTAATTTTAAGAAAATATGTTCATAACCTGAATCTTTACTTTCTTATTCTAGGAAACTGAAATGTCATAATTTTTTACCTTTGTTATCCTTTTCATTTTTTTGTTTCCTAATTTTACTTTTGTTGTTTCAATTTTTAAAAACAATAATAAAAAATCAAATAATGATTGGCTAAATACTTTTAAAGTAATAAAGCGAAATATTAAAATAAAAAGGTTATGATGAAATTGATTTTTATCAAAAACAGCAGGATAAACACGTTATGGCACACGATCAAAGAATATGATCATTTTCAAGAAAAGTTGATCTTAAACTCATATAAGGAATATTATAAAATATGGATTGAAAAATTCAAGAGAACGAATATGGTTTAGAATTCTTTGGTGATAAATCTTGAAATAATATTTGTATTTAGTGTAAAAGGAAATATTTTTGAAAAAAACAAAAATGTTAAAGAGAAATAGCCCTGTTTTTTGAACTAAGGGTCAATTTAAATCTGTTCTTTCAAAAGTAATACAATCCTTTTCTGCCAAAGGCTTATAACTTTAGAAGAAATAATACAAATGTCCACAGAAATTTTATGTATTATTTTTTTATTTTTGAATTACTTTCAGATTAGATGATTTGCAAAAAGAGAATTTTTTTTTTTTTGGTTGACCATCTGGAAATTTTATAAAGCGATATTCTAATATTACATATTAAATATTTTTAAAATATTAAATTTAGCAAATTGCGGGAATATTTTTTAACTTTCTTAAATGATGAGCTTCTCGTACTGTCTGTAACTAAGTAATTGGATATTTACGTCGAATATATAAGTAAATATGAAAACATTGTAGCTATAGATTTTTCCTAATATATTTTTCTTATACTATTCTGCCAGAATCTTTTTGTAGAATAAAGAACATTGATATTCAAATAATTCCTTTAAGAAATTTTATAAATGCCTTAAAAATATCTTAAAAGAATTTAAGTGGAAAAACATATAAAACTTCTTATTATATTCCTTATACCCACATTCAATTTTTAAACATTTAAGATTCTCAGTTAAAAGTTATTTCGTGGTCAAAATTTTATATTATATTAATCTTTGCAGGAATTTCACTAATCCTTACAGGAATTTCTATTCAAAAAATAAATCTATTCTTATAAATTAACAATACTGACCAGATGGTGGTGAATATTTTTTAAATTAATAATAGGAAAAAAAAAATTCGAAATAGCAAAATTTTTTGTTTTTTCTTCTGGCTATTTGTAACAAATTTAGTTAAGTGTTTTTTTGTTTTTTGACCGTGAAACATAAAGTTAATACATACATACATATTTATATTATTCCAATATATTGCTTGGTACATATCAGGGTATAAAAACTCACACCTGAATTTGCATTGTTAGTGTGAAAAATTTTTTAATTTTATTTTTTTAAATCCTATAAGACCAAATATAAAAGAATGTTTTGTTTGCAGCTAACAAAAAATTTGTTCTTTTGTTAAAAATATATTGTTGATTATTTTTTTTTTTGCAAATTCTTAATTAGATTGATGGAATTTTTTTTTGACTCTAAAAGAATGGTGTTTTTATAATTTAAAAGACTCGATAAAATTTTTTTTAAATGAAATAGGTGTTATTGAAAATAATTTGTACAATTATGTACGACGCTACATATGCACATATTGTACGTATGTTTTTTATTTGCAATAGAGTTTTCTTAGATCTTTAACTGAAGACCACTTTTTAATTGTTTTATAAATAATACATTTTACTATTTACCTACATACATGTATGTATGTTATGTAGGTAAGTATTTCTGAGTTAAGTATAATTATTATTTACAGTAAAGAATAGCAACTTTATCTCATATTAATAGACTAGCGCTGGTTCCACATACACTTGATTGTAAATTTTTGTAATAATTTAAATAGATACGCTATACGATATACAAATAGGTATGCTATTATGATACATTATAAAGTTATTATAAGGGAGTAAATAGGTACATATGTAGGTCTATTTTTTTCACTAAACTGTACATTTTATAAAAAATATCAAAAGCTTTGGTTTAAAATATCTTTTATTCATTTTAGGTAAATTATAACCGCTATTAATAATATGAGTTAAGAAAATATAATTTTACTTTGCTATTATAAAGTACCTACTTACCCACCTACAATATTGGAAACATACATAACTTATATTAAGTTTATAATGAAATAAAATTATTTCTGCACTAACCTTGACAAGCTAAATGTCTTGAAATCGACAATGTTTGCTTCAGAAAATTCATTTCAAAAAAATATTAGAACTTATTTATACTTTTTAAAATTCTTTTATTTTTTACAAAACTTTTCACATTTGGCTTAAAATATCAAAACATTTTTTGACATATGTTATTTATATAGAGGTTATGTAGTTGTAAACAATAAATTTTGAAGTAAATGACATTTCAATTTTGGTAAAAATCTTTGATATTCTAATTTCAAATAAAATTTTTATTCCTACCTAAAATGTTGATTCTCCATCTCACTAGATCTCGCTGTTAAATTATCAATAAATTTTAATTTATTTTTTACTCTTAAAATCTAATCAGAAATAAGTAAAATAGTTTCTGGTTTTATGATTAAGTGTGGATCGAAACCTAACAGAAATATAAAAGTTACGGTCAGTCGTCATTTCCCACAAAAATTTCATTCAGTCCATTAATCTTAAAAGCTTAATGATATTTTTGTGGTAATAATAAATATGAGAATAAAAACAATAAAAAATTCAAAATTGCACTTTTTCTTAGTATGTCAATTTTAAATTAATAGTATGTTAAGCGATTTTACAAGGTTTTTGTAGCGCCTGGTATAATATAAAGTTATAAAGTTGCAACAAAAATATTGAGAAAATGATTGTAATGAGAAATGATAATGAGAAAATTTGTTATAGCTTAAGAGCAACTGGTATAAATTTATTTTGGTTTAAACTGTGGTTTCTAAACGGTTTGTCAATTAGAATTTTGTAATTTTGTTTAGTTTTGTTATTATTATTTTAGAGTTATAGCAAAATTCTTTGATTTCCAAATTTAAATTGTAAATTTTAAATAAATTATAAGAAAAAATGTGTGACCCTTCGGAAATCCAGCAATATCTGGAACAGGTAATTTTATAGAGTATATTTAAGTTTGAATAAGAGGGTATCATTTTCAGTTGATACAAGTAGAGGAAGCTTTAAAATATTGTGAAGATGCAGAAAGAGCATCATTAGAAAGTTTAAAAACTGATTTAAATGAACTGCTTGAGTTAACAGCACGTGAGCAATGCTTGAAACCCCAAGAAGAAGATACACTGATTGGTTCAACTGGAAATGGCGAATGCAATGATCAACTTGTTCTTGAATCGGAAATTAAACAAAACACTGAAGGAGAATTTGATGATGAAATGGCACTTTTTATGTCTGAAATAAAGCAAATTGAAAATACATCAGAAATTGTAAAAAACTGTACAGATGAAAAAGAGGCGAATTTAAAATTAGAAGATGTTAAGGTAGGCTAATATATTATAATACAATTTTTAAAATGGAAATATCAATTCTGCTTTATTTTAGAAGGAACTTCTTTCAATGATAGGTAAAAAGTGCTCTGCGCCACACCTGCATTCATGGGGAGTCAAAGCCTACCATAATGCATTAATATGCGGTATAGATGATACTAAAGAGTATGAATTAGATGATATAAAAAATTTTTGCGTACGAATTATGTTTACAAATCCCACACATCAAGAAATGGTTCCGTGTTCATACTTTTTAAATGGGGAATGCCGCTTTGACGTAGATAAATGTCGGTTTTCGCATGGAGAATTAGTTCCATTTGGTGATTTACAGGAGTATCACGAGCCAGACTTTTCAAAATTAGAGAAGAATTGTGTGGTATTAGCTAAAATGGATGACAAATTATGGCACAAAGGAAAAGTTTTAAATGCAAATTTTGAACAAAATATGTGCCGCATACTAATAGATCGTGGTAAATGTGAAATGGATTTTCATTTTGAGGATTTACTGCCAATGGTTTTTGGTAAGTTTAAATTTTTGTAAAACGAAAATGTTATTAATATTGTGAAACGTTCATTTCAAGATAATGAATCATACAGCAGTGATTTGAGCAGTGATAGTGATAGCAATTCCTCACACTTTGAGGATGATATAAATAAAGCACGTGAAGCTAAGCTCATAGAACAAAGCTTATTAAGTCCAAACGCTAGCCAAAAGCTTGGAGAATGGGAGAAGTATACAAAAGTAATAAATTATCTATATAATTGTGAAAATAAAAAATAAGTTTAGTATTGTAGTTGTTTTTAAGCTATATGAACTCTTTTAGGGTATTGGTTCAAAATTACTTCAAAAAATGGGTTATATTGTAGGCACTGGCCTTGGTGCTAGTGGTGAAGGTATTGTTGTACCTGTTAGTGCTCAAATATTACCACCAGGACGTTCTTTAGATCACTGTATGGAATTGCGAGAATTGGCAAATGGTGATGAAAATTTATTCAGTGTTGAACGTAAAATGATGAAAGATCAGCAAAAAGCTGAACTGAAAAGTGCTAAACAATATGGAAAGGAAATAAACAGATCGGATATGTTCTCATTTCTAAACGAAAATATTTTGACAGGATCATTACAAAATGAGGATTCAAACAAGAAAAACATTCAAAAGCCTAATTCAAGTGATTACAAAAATCATTCTAATAAAAACCTAAATGTTGAAAGTGTGAGGATTGCAGATGATATACGAAAAAAAGAAAAGGAAATTGAAAAATTGCAGCAAAGTTTGAAAAGGCATGTCAGTGGAAGTGATATGCATAATAAATTGCTGAAAATAAGGTCTGCTAAAGACTTAGAACTAGAAAATTTAAAAAAATCTGAGCATTATTTGAGTAAGGAACAAAATGCGAGAAAAAATAAAAATAAATTAGACATTTTTTGAGAAACTCGAAATAAGCATGATTTTTTTTACGAAAATAATTGAATTTAAGTTCTTTGTTATACCAAAATTGTTTTAGGTAGGCACGTTTTTTATAAATTTAAAAGGTTTTCTTGCTAAGAATGATCTTTTGAAGAAATTTTTGAAAGTTATCTTAATTACATAGTTGGAAACAGCACTTAAAAGTGTACGTTTCTGTATTTCCAATACAGAAAAACACGCAATAGAGTTTAAAATTTTTTTAAAACTATTTTATTTAATATGAACAATGAATATATCTACATAAAATTGAATAATTTAGGTATAATATCACCACACTTCGCAGAAATTTTAATATCCGCTAAGTGATCACCTCTTGTTTCACCAATGTTTACGATAGCAACAGGTAATTGCAAATCTTTAGCTTGCAATATTATTCTATAACCAGAAAAAACTAATAAGCTCGAACCTAATACTAAAACTCCATCGCTTTGACAGACCATTTCAGAAACTCTTTCTACTCTTTCTAAAGGTATATTATCTCCAAAGAAAACAATTTCAGGTTTAAGATTACCACCGCACTTTGGACAAGGTGGTATTTTAAAAGAATCCACTTCTTTTTGTGGTATGTCAACATCGCCATCAGGTCTCATCATTGTGGGGGCCTTAAAATGAAACTCTGGGTTCAGTGTATTTAGAATATTTTGAAATTCATGTCGATCGATACGATAATCACATGAAAGACATATAACATCGTAACCACAGCCATGAATCTCAATTACATTTTTCGAACCAGCTTTTCCATGTAATCGATCCACATTTTGAGTAACGATGCCCAGTATTCGACCTTCACGTTCAAAACGAGATAATGCATGATGCGTAGAATTTGGTTCTTTAGCGGAAAATGTTGGCCATCCAACGTAATTCCTAAAATTAATTTGAATTTTAAATAAAATGGGTAATAAAAATTTCAGCTTTTTTAGTTAACCTTGTCCAATATCTAAGACGTACTGATTCATATTTTACAAAATCCGGATGTTGGATAGGTTTGTGATTTGATCTTGCATAAAGACCAACTCCTTCTGATCTGTAATCTGGAATTCCTAGATTAGAGATAAAATAAGTATGTAATTACGTACATACAGGTATACATATAATAGTAACATAGTAAACGTAAATACGTAAGTTTTCGCGAACCAGGTAATTAAATATAATTACCTGATTCTGTGGAAATTCCAGCTCCAGTTAAAACCAATATGTTTGGTCTTGGCATCAAAAACTCTTCTAACATTTTGATTTCGTTTTCTTGTACTGGTTTATGATGCGGTACAAATTCCATTATCGATTTTAAATTAGGCAAATTGTTTTTTAAATTTAACAAATGTGAAAATTTCATAATTTGATTATAGTTGAATAAAAGGCGGTTACAAAATTTATTTTGCTCTTCGAATTTTTTAAATATTTGTACCTAATCCTATTCAAAACAATAGAAACTATTTACACCTGATTATTTTGATTTCGTTCCATAATAATAAAAATCAGCTGATTTAATCTTTCTTTTGACACTTTTAGTTTGTTGGGTAACGAACGAAATGTCAAGTTCCACAAAAAATAAAAAAAATATATCTTTCTTCTTTCTTTCTCATTTTATTTGAAAAACAGAAGAGTAAAGCAAGAAAACGGTTGTTTTTCAACAATTTTTGCAGATTAAAAGCAGTTTAGCAGTTAAGTATAAGTTAAGCGGGAAATTCAATTCGGGTAAAATGCTAAAAGATTTCTATTTTGAAAGTAACTTAATACTTCATTACACACATTTTTTTATCATAAAAAAAATTTAGATGATTGGATTCTGGCATTATTTTAAGAACATTGCTATATTTATAAACTTGAAAACAGCATAAAATATTTATTTCTTATCAAATCCCTATTTTGAGGTCGCTAAATTTCATTAAATTTAAAAGTCGGTTTATTGTGTTGGTCGGTTGGGTCTTCTTGAAAAATTTTGTGCGAATTAAAAATTGAAAATTCAGTTTTCAATATAATCTTTGCTGAAAATTGTAAATTATCAGTTGATTTAATTTTTTTGCTTAAATGCATTAATTTTAACGAAAAGTGCACTGCAAGCGTGTATAAGGATCTATTGCATCCCCTATAGAACTTTGTCGAGTGGCAGCCTTCGGAGTACCTTGTGAAGTATGAAATACCACAATTCTGTCTTTCGCAGTACATCGTTCCCAAACTTTTTCAGTATCCCCTTTCTCCTACGAGTGGAGGGATCACATTCTCACAGAATGTGTATTTGGGTCTGCCTAATTTTCTCACAGAATTTTCAAGTTCCTATACTTTCTAGATCCAGCTAACTGAGGTCCTCAAAGTGTGCAGTGCCACAAAAAGAACGCGGTGAGGATTCTCGCCTGTTTCTTGCCTAACTTTATAATTTTCTTAAACTGATTTTTTTTTCTTATTCCACTTGGAAGCATTGGGACGTTCCACTTAACTTTATATATTTAAGCACAAGTTTCAGAGTTTATTGATTTACTTGGCGGTGACCAGCCTGTCGTAATATTTTTTATATTGAAGGTTGTTGAAGTCATCAAGTTTCACACTAGGATGCCAATCCCCATCTGTCGGTTCTTTTTGTGAGTCATCGATATCTGTTCTCGTACTATGAAAGTGTTTTCTCATAGTGTTGATGATTTTTATTTCTTGTTTTGGTTTTTCGCTTTATTTATGTTTGTTTCCTCAAGTTTCTATTCTGAGTTCACCACTCAGGGAGAGGCTCCATTAGCGGTAACCAGTGTATCATCCGGTATACCAACTAACTAGTATACCAACTAAAAGACTTCACGTCCAGATGATTCTCTTAGTTTTCAGGCCTCATTCGACCTTGTCGTGCTGATAAGACAAAGCACAAGGTTGCACCTGCCAGATACCACAAAGCTTAATAACATATAACATCGAATATTTTTTATATTAAAAGAATTATAAAGCAAATTTTGATCATTTTTTCGTCTTTATTTCTGAAAGAGGTCGTAAGGTTTGAAATCTTGAAGAATGTCATATTTCTTGCTTCAATGCGACTCAATGAATTTTAAATCTTTTCTATCACAAAAAAATTTGAAACCCATTTAACATAAAAAGTATTTTATGTATTATTAAAGGCGCACAAAAGAATAATATTCGTATATAAAGTATAGGGAAAAATATTAAGCATTATAAAGACGCCTAAAATCAAAAATAATAAAAATAAAAAATAATAATTATTATTTATATTATATAATTATAAAAACATTATAAAAATAAATTTTAAAAAGACAAATAATATTGAAATTAGTTCGAATATTTCTGAAATAATGGCAATATTTCTGGAAAATTTGGTAAATTTTTCATTCTTCTTCATTGAAAAGTTACAAGACTAAGTGTATACGACCCAAAATTTTTTTGATAGATTAAATGTTAATTATATGTGCTTTCCATTATATGAAAAAAAAATTCTCTTATAGTTACTGTAAACACGTATACAAATTTATGTACACATATGTAAATGTCAATATATTAATACTTAACATAATATAAATGTATTTTATGTGTTAATCTATAGATATGCTTTTTCGAAATTCCTGACAAAAAGAAATATAATAAATATGAATAAAAACGAAAATAATATAACAGCTGATTGAATTGTATACCTGCATGCAGATATAATTAACAGTTTGTTTTATGGTTTCATTTTTTTTTTTACAGATCTATAGCAAAAATTTTATTAAGACCTGCAAAATCCAAAAATTACTTCTTGTCTAAATTATAAGCTTATGTTTTTCATCCACAAAATTAGAGGATAACAAAAAAGTGCATATAAAAAATAAAAAAACAAAAAAAGGCGATAAGAAAAAACATTCAGAGCAATTTTCATATATTTGACATTCTTTAGCCTCATATTATTTTATTTTACCTAATGTTACACTATAATATTATGTATATACATGAACTAGAAATTTAAATATCATATACTAAAATACGTCATAAATATACTTGTTTTGCATACAACATATTATAAAAAATAATAACATAAATATGAATTATTTAACAAAAAACCTGAATTTTCATTTTTGATTACGGTTTACGGTATAAAATTTCTTTACCTTTTCTTCCATATACTCAATCATTATATTATGTTTTTACTCCTTTTCTTAAAAACTATATTACATTACAACACTACAATGTACGAGTACATATTCTTTTTCTTACATAAAGTTTTAACAAATGCGCCTGTCAGTTATGCGTTATTATAAATTCCGGCGAATTTGCGAAATTACGTTCTTCTCAAACACTCTCTTTTTAATCACTCAGAGAAAAATTTGAAATAGATGATGTTGATTTTTATGAAAAGTATGTATATATTTAATTTTTTTTGTCCTTTGATAATAATTTTAAATATTTATTATATTAGTCGACTTTTAGGATTGCAACAATTTATATCATAACGGTTTTTTTTTTCTGGAAATTGCGAATAATAAAAAATTAAAGAAAATAATAAAAAAATTTATATAAAAAAAAATTGTATTTTTGGTTTTGTTCGTTTTTTTATTGTCATTGGAAAATTCAGAAAGAAAAAAAAAAACAAAAAGTTCAATAAAAATTAAAATTACGTATTCAACAGAATTACGTATAACAAATTTCAAATATAAAAATATAAATTAATTAAAAAAAAACTAAAAAAAAAAGGAAAATAAAAGTCGGTTCAAAGTTACAAATAAAATTTTCATATAAATGACATATTTTTTGTCTACATAATTATATATGTATATCTAAACTATAGTATAACATAGTAATTATAACTATTATATGAAAATTTTTTCGACAAATCAACTAAAATAAAATTCTACAATAATATACAATATAACTAAGTATGGATATGCAAAAAATACAAAAAAAATAAAACTATGTAGTTACATACATATATAGAATGTATTGGAATAATATCACTAATATATAATAGTTAAACAAAATCAAAAAAAGGGTAACAAATTATATGAGAAGAAAAATGTCAATTTTTCTTTTCAAATAATTTTTTGAATGTTCGATATTTATTTGCATATATATAGGATAAAAATAAAAAAGCGCCTGCATCAAATATACAAGTTTAAAATAAAAAGTAACGTGAAAATATTTTTGCCTACATAATACTTACCTAATAATTATTATTATTATGTTATTTATTACACAAGCAAAAATTAAAAAAATAATAATTAATATTAATATTTAAAATAAGAATAATAAAATTTTAATATAAATTGAAAAATTTTATTTAATATAAAGACAAAGTTTTTGAAATAATAGTTAAGTAAAGTGAATATTTTTAATAAATAATTTCATAAGGAGAAACAAAAAAAAAGTTATTATACTTTATACGTACTATATCTTAAATATACATTTACGTGTACTTTTAGTATATACATTGTACATAATATATTCGTAAAATATATACATACTTTTTTATTTGTATACATACAAGTAGTATTAAAATAAAAACTACATTTTTTCATTTGTATTTCTGCAAACCTTGGAATATATGCATATATACATAGGAATATATGTATGTGATTATACATTTTGTTTTTAGGTAAAACTGCATAAATATAATATAAATAAATATATATCATTATTTGCATATACATACATCCTGTATTTAAATTTATAATAATCTCATACACGTATTATTTTAAACACACACACAGGAAAATAATAAAATTAATAATTCAGTTAAAATTACACAAAAATATTTTTATTAAATTATATTTATACTTTTGTCCCTTTTTATGAATGTATATACATTAAATCATTAAAAAATTATAATTTAACATTAAATTATTACGCTGCGCTCATAACCTGTAAAAAAAATATACATAAAAATATATAAATACAACACTTACTATTAATTTTAAAAAATTCATACTATTTCATAAAACACAATTATTACATTTGGTTTTGGAATTGTATTATGTGATATGTATATACTATATATATATATATATATATATATATATATATATATAATTTTGTGATATCTCTATACTACATATATATATATATAGTATATATAATTATGTGCAATAAATTAACTTTTTCCTGCAATATTGACAGTATTCCTTTTACTTTAAATTTTTCCGAATTTTACATTTAAAAACGAAATTTTTGTATAACAAGAAAGATTGAATATTTTTGTTTTTAATTAATCTCTCATATATTCTCTTTATGCATTCTTATAGAATATGAAATAAATGTTATTTAATAAAATTAACGGTACTATATACTTCATATATATGAAATGAAAAGTATATATTTTAGGGAAATACTAAAATAAAGTGTTATATAGAAAAAAGTTTTAATTAATATCTTTGTCATATTATAAGTTTTATAAACAAAATATTTATAAAAGCATGCATAAAATATGAAAATTATGATTACTAACATTTACATATATCTAAATATGCTGACAAGAATATTATAAAAAATTAAAGAAAGATATAGTATAATTTTCAAAAATTGCAGAAGTTTTATTTTTTCATTATTTATTGTTGAAAAATTAACTATTATTTAATTACTATAAGATGGAACAAAAGTAAGAAAAAACAGAAAAAAATAATATAGCGTGAGTAAAAATTTTTTATTATTTTATTTTGTTAATTTTTTTTTTTAAATTATTGATTCAAATTAGGATCATAACAGTGTAAAAAATATTTTGGTTTTAATATGTTGTTGTACAATTCAAAGTTTACACGTAAAATATGAAAATATAAATTAAATTAATTTAATTCAGAAAAAAAATTTTGAAATATTTTTATACTGTTGATTCAGTTTTAGTAATCATTATCAAAAAAATGAATAATTATAATATATGTATGTATGAGATTAATTACAATAACCAAATTAATACTTATGAATTAAGAAATTTTGGAAAAAAAAGTAATATTCTTATTATATATTATAAGTAACTTATAATTCACAAAATTTGAAAATTGTATATTTAATATATTTTTTACATTTATATTAAAATATAGTCTTTTAGTAGATTTTTATGTTTAATTAATTCAAAATTAGCTTTACAATTTATAACTGTTTCAAAATATTTATAATCATCGCAATTTATTCTTTTTTTCCTTCTATAATATGCAAAAATTAATATTCTAAATAAAATTATTTATTTTGAATTCGCTTTGATAATAAATAATGCAAAAACTATTCATTATTTAATAAATCTGCTTATTAGTTCTAAAAAAGCGAAAACGAATAATAATTTTAATAAAATATTTTATAATAAATATTGCATATTTTATATTTAAATAAAAACTCCTATTCCAGTTAAAAAAAATTACAAAAGAAATTATAATTTTCTTTAATTTTATTTTTTACATAATAATAATGAAAATTTTCTGTTCTACATTCGATTAAAAATTATAAATTGAGGTACCTACTCTCTTTTGTTTTCTCTTTTATTTCGCTCTACTTTTACTCAACATTATTCGTTCTCTCTTCTTTTTTACGTTTTTGCCTGACGTTCGTATAAATAATTATCTCGTTAGCTCTTTAATTAATTATAATTTCTCTCTTGCATTAAAAAGAAAGGTACAATTAAATAATACACATTTTCTTACGATACACACTAGTTGGTTAGTGAGTTAATGATGTACAAGACACATTATATATGACTTTTTAACACCTATACATTGAAAAGTGTTAATATGTTTCAAATCAAAAAAAAAAAAAGAGACCCGAAAAAAGGATAATAAAATAATTTTCATTCCTATATAAAACAAATTATTTTGAAAATAACATATTTTTATGTTATGCATAAGTTTTAAAATGATTTCATGTTATCGTAAAGTTGAGCCAATATTAAAATTCAATAGTTACTTTTGAGGGAAGTATAAGCTAGAGTAATAACATATTTTTTGTAAATTTTTATAAAAAAAAAGAGAATTCAGAAACAGGCATATATATATGTATATATATATATATATATATATATATATATATATATATATATATATATATATATATATATATATATATATATATATGCCTTTTATATTTATATATTATATATATCAATTGATATATATGTATATATATCAATTTTAATTTGCTAATAACTTCTGAAAATATTGGAATATATTAATATATAGCATGAGGGTTACTATAACTGACAAGAGGATAAATTATTACAATATGTAATAATAAAATAGCAGGAATATTATAATACGAAAATTTTTTGTGATATCTCGAAAGAGAGAAAAGACGATATATGTCAAATGTAGGTAAAATTATATGTACTCGTATGTATATCTAGAAGTCATTATATAAAAGAGAATAAGGATGAAAAAATGAAGCAAAAATTCGCTTAAATTTTTTTTTTAATTTTTTTTTCCCATGTAAGACGCAATGCTATAATAACCTTTATATTTGCTTATTTTCTTTCTTTCATATAAAATTGTCTGTTTGTATTTATTTGTTTCTAAATTCTTTTAATTTTATAAAGATGATAATTTATATATGTATGTGCGTGAAAATTCTCTGAGTCTGATAAGCATTATTATTATTAACATTAACGAGTTCTGCTTTTTAATTTCCTTTATTTTTGTTTTAATCTTATAAAAATCTTGTTATGTTTATAAATAATGATGGTATAATAAATTTTTTATAAAATGTAAATGAAAATGAAAAGAATGTTATATGTGTAACAATTTAAAGTTTTATTTTTAATTAAAAAGTTTCATATTTTGAACATATATTAAAATAATTACAATTAGCCAATATATACGAGTATGTATAAAGATATTTTTATGTGTGTATGAATATAATGGAAAAAAATTAAGAGTAGTGAAACGGTGATAATTTGTAGAGAGACGGAAATTGTTAAATTTGGTCCTTAAACATGAATTAAATTTATGGTGTGGGTTTTGTTCTGTGAACAAGCATATATACATTATAAATTATAAGAGTGAAATTAGAAAATTTTACCAAAACACATTTGATCTTTCTTTTAAAATGCTGTATAACACTTTTATAATAAAAATATTATTTTATTGTATAAATTCACAAAATGTACGATAATGATAAATAGTTTTGTTTGTTTAGTGCTTAAACAACGATTTTGTGTAAGAATCAACATAAATTTGGAATAAATCTATCTAAATTAGTCTTTTTATTGAAACTTTTATTTTAGTTATAACTCTATAGGTTGAGGCTTTTTAGCAACACAGTTTTAGAATAGTGCCATTCTATTTTATGCGAATTTTTTACATACAAATTTCATTAAATTTTTTCAAATTCATGAGTTAAAAAAATTTAAAATAAAATACATTTTCGCCAGAGTGTTCAAGATTAAATTTCACAATTGATATTCATAATTAACTAATTTTTCTAAATTGATATTCATTGTTAACAAAGAACAATAAATAGCAATATTTTTGATTCCATATTATATTTATATTTCATAGAATATTTTTAAGAATTAAATTTATGGAAATATTTCAATCAATTTTAACTTAAAGCAATTGCAAATATTGAATATTTAAAATATTTTACATTTTAGTTTTCAAATTAAATTAAAAACAAATTTAAAGTTTGAATTTCAAATTTTAAAAACATGAACATGAACACGTGAAATTAAATTAATGCAACATTATTATAATTTGTTTTTATAATAAAATTAATTGAATATAACAAATCATTATTTATTATAGTAATCATAAAAATATTTAGGCTTTAATAACAATAAACTATGTAATAATAATAATAAATAATAAATGTGTGTTCGGTAGTTTTTGTTATTAAGAAATTAAAATTTTTGAAATATCTATTTAACTATTAATTAATATAAAAAATATGTTATTTTTATATGATTAATAGAGCAATTAATAAATAGATACTAATTGTAATGAGCTAATTAAATTTATTTATAGGTATCATATTAATTTTGTGAAATAATTTAATGGTGTTTTAAAGTTTGCATAAAAAAAATTGTCATAAAAAAATTGTGAATGAATGTATAGTTAAAAAAAATTATTTTTAATGTAAAAGTAACCAATTTTTGAAAAATGAAGCAGATTAAATAAAGTTTTGTCACATTGGATGAATTAAAAATTACGTTGATAGATAAAATTTAATATCGTGTATCAATTTAAGATATCATAATTCTGACAGAACATGGTTGTATTTAAATTGTATATATGTAGTTAATATTGTGAATTATAACAATATAGTTAATATTGTGAATTATAACAATATAGTTAATATTGTGAATTTTTTAATAGCTTCTTGCAATCAATTTATTCTATGTTATTTTAAATTATTACCATAAATGAATTTTAAGTGAATTTCACAACTCCAAACCCGCGAATATTAATTTTACTTTACGAAATTTGACATTAATTCAAAAATATTATTAAATAATTTCTGTTAAATAATCAGAATTCCAAGTCGAGAAATTGTGTTTTAAATAAATTAAGTTTAAAGTTTGAATTTAATTAAAAATTGTTAATGTATAAGTGTTTGCTAATCTTATAATTGATGAATATTGAACAAATTTATTTATGACGAATTTAAATTTATAAAAAATATAACTAAAGTCGATTTAGGCTGTTGTTGCTTTGAACTACACAATTATTGTCAAAAATTTATTGCTATATAGAGTTGAAATTATTAAAAATTTAATTTATTTTATCATAAAACTATTTCTTACAAAAATACTTAAATAATAACGTTGAAAATAAAAAAAAATAAAAGAAAATTATAAATTGCTTCTTCTGTTTACGAACTAAAGTTTGGATGACCCATTTATGACACATTGAAAATTTAATATTTTCTTTATTTTATCAAAATATTTTGTCTCTATGATAGTAAAAAAAGCTAACGAAGATCAATATATACATGGTATACAAGTATGAAAAAAAATTTTCTTCACCAAAGAAAAATTTAATAGCATTCAATGTGAGAATAGACAAAATATTATAAATATAGTATAAAAATTGCAGGAAACGAAAATCAGATAATAGAAAAATTGAAGAAATGACCGTAAAATTATTTTGCTTTTAATGAAATTTTTCCAATCTTCTGTTCTATTTTTCAACTACAACAAAAATAAAAGAACAGAAAAAGGTTGCTTTTTTCTATAATAACATTTTGTTGATTTCCTAATATTGGGTCTCTATTTTTATTATTATTTTAAATTTTCTATTGAAATCGATCAAGATTAATTCAATTGAAAAATGAGTTTTTTGTTGATGTTCTTGCAGTAAGATCACAATATAAAAAATTCTTTATTTCGTCATTTGAATATTGCGGTTTATTTATAACAATGAAGAAAGTGTTGTAAAACCTCCCGTTCATTTGAAATGTATGTATGGGAAAAGAAAATTGTATTTAAAATTTTTGAACTATATGACATATAAACATTATAAAATTTATACATGTATGTATATTGAGTCCTTCATCTTGTAAATCATAATAAAATTTTTTAGTTATTTAAATTGACAGTATAGATTCGTTGAATAAAAGGTTAGATATAGATTGTTTCACTAGCAAAAAAAAATATTCGCCTATAGCTCTAATTATTGCTATTTATTTTGCTTTTATGTAGCCTCTTTTTCA